GGTCCCCAGCAGACCAGGGGCACCCGGAGCAGCTTTTCTCGCCCCGGAGATCGAGGTGGCGGGACCGCTGCACTCTGGGCGGTCCCGCTGCCTGCGAGCTCCGGGGCGAGAAAGCCCCGTTCGTAAGTGCAGATCTGACATAAGTCGGATCCGCGTAACTTGGGGACTGCCTGTATTCAAGATTTGTTTATTTTTTTCCAGAAAAGCTACAACTAAAATTTATCCAATTATTTTGTACACTTTTAATATGTATGTCAGTTTTGTGCTACTTTTTCAGATAGGAAATTAGGTCCTTATTTTGCAAACTGTGCAAAACTAGTCTCACTGGATTTGGAGCTATTCATGTAAGCAAGGACTGCACATCACTGGTCCTCCTTATTTCTTCACTGCCTTAAATTATAAGTAAATTTAATTTTATTTGAGAATCAGGGGCATATATTTTTATAAAGAGAAAATGTTTCTATTATGAGTGGGAACAAAGTGAACAAACTTAACTGTGATAGAAATGTAGCCGTGTTAGTCTGGGGTAGCTGAAGCAAAATGCAGGACAATGTAGCACTTTAAAGACTAACAAGATGGTTTATTAGATGATGAGCTTTCGTGGGCCAGACCCACTTCCTCAGATCAAATAGTGGAAGAAAATAGACACAACCTTAAGTCAAACTTAACTGCACATTCAAGGAAACCGTAAAATTATTATCCCTACTCCTAACTACAACTTAGGACACCATGTCTTAAAAGTTATAATGTTCAGCATGGTCCTTAAGGAACTATATTACAAAATACTCAATGTTACTAAGATGTTCAAAATTTACTTCTTGCACTAAGATAAAAAATGTATATGTAAGCGTGTTATATAAATTAAATACTTTTTCAAAAAGTTAAGTTAGTAAATGTTAATGCCAACTAGCATTAGTTTAACCTGGCTGAGAAAAATATAATAATCCTCCTACTGTAACTAGAGAACAATCCAAATACTGTAACTGTAATTACACAGGCATTGAGTAGAAAAACAGGAAGAAGAAGGGCTTCAAAACTTTAGTGTCAGGTCTTTGTTGCCATTATTCTCTTTTTTGGGGGGAGAGAAAGATGCTTTTGATTCTTTGTTGCAGTTTCTCACATGATAACATGTAGTTCAAGCAAGGGGATCCTTTTCAAACCAGGAAATATAAAAAAAAGCTGGCTAATTTTCTTTAATATTTTGCCATGTCCTTAAAGATATGCTTATCTAATTACCACGTAGAACAATATGTATTTTGTACAATGAACTTTGCTGACTTTTGATTAGAAGTTTACTTTGTCCTCTAAATAGAAATCCTGATGGTTAAACTCCCCGTTATGATAGCTATATTGTTATTCATCTGGAATCACTGCACAGGTTAATTGTTTAACTTTGCTTCTGGGGAGGGGGAGCATCCCCCAACATGCATTTATTTTTTCTAAGTCATTCTAACAGGCCTTGTGTGTCTGTGAATTTCCTTCCTGAAAGGCTAAAAACTAGATCTTGGACTACCGGCCTTTTTTTTTTGGTCAGAAAATACTGATCAAAACTTAAATTTCACATAGGAAAGTTTAAGTTTTGATTACTTTCTCCTTTACAAAAAACAGTGTTATTATTATTGAAACATTCCATTTTGACATTTTCTTTAAACAAATAAGTTTTGGTTTTTGAATCAAAACAACCACTTAGAAATTGAAATTAATTTAGAAAAATGTAGAAGAACATCAAAATGAAATATTTTGAAATGATCAAAATATACATTTCAAATGACCTAATTAAAATCCTGGAAAGAATTCTAGTTCACAAAAATTCTGAAGATGTTGACTTTTTGCCCTAATTCAGGATGGGAACATTTTCTGAGGTCCTGAAAATTCTCATGGGACAAGAAAACAGTGTCTCATCTACTTCTTCTGGCAACTGTCAATGACTGTGTGCTGAGACAGAATTATCAGCTCCCTCTTTTCAGAAGCTAAAGGCACCATCTTTGCTACACTCTCAGTCCCTAAGAGCTTTGGACCATTCAGGAGCCGGTTAACAATCTTTTATGTTCCATCATACTGAGAAGCCAAGAATTCACACTTAAATCAGAAAACAGTCCATCTGATAGCAGCACCTAAACACACAAATCAGGAACCAGAGCTCTACTAAATCAGGCACTTATTCTGCAAGGAAAATCAAAACTGTCCTTTGGAAAAAACAGTATTTTAGCTAAGACTGGCAGATCACTGCAATACATTTTCTTAACCTTTCTGAATTAAACTAATCATGTATATCCCATTAAAACTAAAAAGAAACAAACCCCCTCTCGCTTAGCAAATCTTTGTCACAACATGGCAGGAAATAAGTAGCAACAATGTAAATCCTTCAGTCTTAAATATAATCTGACTTACTAGAAAATGTATCACTTCTGGCTGAAATTCAGAAGTAAAAATCTTTAGTGAAAACTTCAAATGTACAAATACTGTCCCTACTTTCACACAGCTCTAGTCACCAACTTCAACGAAATTAAAACATATATTTCACAGTCAAGACAAGAAACTTTTTATTTGTTTCTTGTGAAAACAGAGAATTTCAGAAACAGCTCAAAGTACAGGAAAAGGCTGTGCAAGAAAAAAAGAGTAATGCTGAACTTGAACATGGTCAGGCAAGTGGAAGAGAAACTGCTGTTGAAACACTGAGGCATGATGTTTTATATCCTTGGCTCTGAAGGCTTTGACACTGCTTTCTAGAACGTTCTTGATGTTCTGAGATGCATATTCAATAAGGCGGTACACAATATGGCCACATCAAAGAAGAATCTCTGTGATGTTGGGGACTTTATAACACTAAATTAAAATTCTATTTCAAACGTGAGGAGGATTTATTTGGTCTAGGGTGAGGGCAGGATTATCAACACGTGCTAGTAGCTCCTATGTATGTTATGAGTCACAGTATAAATTTATGTTGACAAAGATGGTGAGAGTTACGCGTATTTTTCCTCAAACCATCAGGTGGAGTTCCACTGCTTTATTTAGTAGAAACCTGGGTTTGCCAACACCCTGATATCACACACAAAAGTATGGAACGGATATTCACCTACTTAAAAAATATTGCTGAAGACCTTGTATGTATTACAAATATCTTCAATTATATTAAAAATGAAATACTATACATATCAGAGAAGTGACAATTACACACTTCACTATATCTCCTCAAATTGTAAAATTTTAATTACAAATGATGTGCAAAAACACAAGATACTTTTCAAGGCAAGAAGCTTTAAGTGAGAAACTGATCCACACAATTAACATATAATGAAAAAAGAAAATGTTAATTTAACTATTAGTTCTCAAAATGGAGAAAGTGTGTAATTTCCTTATAGAATATATATTATGCATTCAGTTGCTACATATGCAGGACAGGGAATTTAGCACTCAAATTAGCATGCATAATACCACAAATGTCAAACACTGACAAATACTACCAATATACCTCTGCTATAGTCATTCTCATAGCACTGATAGGTGAAGGCTCAATATCCACGAGCTGAACTGCATTAAAACTCTGAATGACAAAGATTGCACAAGGACAAAAACACAGAGCAAACAGTTAGAAGTAAGGAACACAAGTAAGGAAATTCAGCACACAGAAGTATGAACATAGCACTTTATGTCAACAATTTGCTCTACGGAGAAGTTAGGGAAAATTAAAATTGCTTATTGTTTGTTAAGACAAAGCCAAAAGATAATAGTTTAATTTCAAGGGTGATTTTGTTACAGCTGTTAGTGTTTATTTCTTGCAAAATTACTCATACAGTCCATACATATCTATTAATACAATTTCTGGATTTAAACACAATGTGAGAGCCAGATCTTTTTTCCCCAACCAGGGTTTACCAAGTATGAACCAAGGAATTAAAAAGCAGTAGGAGGTTCTCTCTTTTTAAACCTAAGCCTAGCTGAATATATCAAAAGACTACATGAATTTGAAGCTACTGTATTTTGGAACAGTATTAACTGTATCTTATGTATTTAAACAAAAAAATTTATATATTTTCTTCTGAGTAAACTGAAGGTAATAGACACTATATTTGGTAAATCATTAAATTATCTATTTGTAACCCTACCTTTATGGATACTTGAAGAACCTTACCAGAATATACAAGTTTAATAGATTTAGCAAAAAATGTTAGCTCAAAACAGAAATCCAGATTGTTAGTCACACAAATAGGAGGGAAACAGTGCATGCAGTTACTCCGCAGGTAACAATACTGGAATCTGTTCAGAGTTTTATTGTAATTACATAATACCTATTATAAGCAAAGTTAGTGAAATCAAGTTAGCTACCTCTACCTATTCCAGGAATACCAGCGGTGTTAGTGAACACTAAAAGATTATCAAACAAGGCTAGTTTCTCCCAGTTCACCCCCATAAAACCTTGTTAAGAAGAAAACTAGGATAAGTGAATCACAGAATGTAGGAATGCCCTTACGGTGTCACTGTCACTAGGCTGGAACTGGAAGGGCTGTGGTCTGTGAAATACAGAATTCTCCTGTAAAAACAGCTGAAGATTGTAATCCTGCACCACCTGAAAACAGAACAAATTCCAATTTAGACTTATTTTTTATTTTATAAAATTGGGGTATATTATATTTAGTGTTGCAAGGATAAAATTAACATACTGTACTTCAAATAGGGACCAATTCTGCAGCTGATCCATGCATGGAACTCTCATGTTGGTTTCAATGAGAGTTCTATCTAGGGACAAGCTGCAGAGTCAAACCCTAAGGCAATGACTGCATAAATGACTGCATTAAGACACTAAAATGTATTTATTCCACTTGGTACATTCATCTTGTACTGCTGAAAATATAGGGATCATTGAACTGATAGCAACTTAACCCTCATATAGCATGTTGGTGTCCCTAATGTGTCCAGACAGGGAAACAGAGAAAAATTAAAAGTACTATTATACTCTAAACATTTACAGTACAATGGTCCAAAGTCCCACAAAAAGTATTTCACCTCTAAATTTACAGGGAATTTCATTTACATGTACGGACAATTTCATTTGCATGTACATTATACATATAACTGACACTTTTATTTTCCAGATTAGTTTGAGACTAGTCCTCAAAGAGAACTTACTCATGTAGACTTTTCCACTTGTCTAGCTTTTTAATTACCTGACTATAAGTTTTTATAATTTTTCATGCTTGGCTATCTAAATCAGCTAACAGATGCTGCTTTAACTAAAACTGACACCAAAGGAAGACTTTCAGAAATGTATTAGCAGGCAAACAAAGGATAAAGAGGGAAATGTGTGCTATTCCTTAGTTAAATCATTCTATACTAATGCTATAGTGCAACATTAAAACATGACCGAGTGAATGCTTCCATTTTCTGAACCAGCCTTTATTAACATTTTTTATTTTGGGGTGATTATATACTCAAAGATACATGAAAGAGAAATTGGTAATGTAATTTCCTTACTTAAAAAAAGAAAGAAAATAATTCAAGTGACAAACACTGACAAGGGCTCTGTCTGCTCCTTCTCCTGTGGCCAAACGCTTTCCCTGATGGAAGTTGTCTTGCTGCAGAAACTTTCTCCAATCCTTATTTCCTACAGGAATCAGCTGCCCTAGTATACATAGGTGCATATATGTGAGTAAGTCACACATACATAAACGTGTACATTTTAACATCTGAATGTGTGATCACAGTACATAATTGAATGCCTTCAATTTAAACTGAGCACATTAAAATGTATGTATAATTCAGCTCTTTCAGTCCTGAAAGCATCTGTGAATTTTGGTTAGGGATTTTACAGCTTGGGAGGTGTTGATAGTTTTGAAACTGGAGGATGAATAATTTGCAGTTTTGTGAGGGGGTTAATAATACCTATCATTAGCTTACACATTTACATAGAATGTACCGGGTATATTCAATTTAGCGATTTAAAGGGCACTGGATCCTTTAAAGCAGGGGTGGAGAACCTTTTTTGGATGAAGGGCTGTTGACCCCCAGAAAAATTAGTCCGGGCCACACACAAATGAGAAGCAAAAAATCCACCAAACCCTTACTGACATGGCCTCCCACTGAGAAGGAGATAGACACTCCTCACATTCCTTTCGCACACCAGTGCCCAGGGTGGCCCAGCCTAGTAGATTGTGTGTGCTCCAGCCCTGTGGTGGAAGGGCTGGAGCGCCAGGGTGGGCTCCCTCCTGGGAGGGTGCTGAGTCTCAGGGGCTGGATGCAGGCAAGCCAGGGCTTTAGGTTTCCTGCCCCTGCTTTAAAACATAGGCTTTGCAGCATATGGCAAGCAAACCAGTGAAAAGTCTGCCAAAGCCTACTAGAACTCTCTGATACATTCTTAAGGTTGTGAGGGATGGGAAGGCATAGTACTAACCTTTCATTCTCAGCTTTCAAAAAAGGCCAAGTGTGGCAGTGTGATGGTGTGTCCATTCCACACTCGCCCTCAAGGGCTTAATGAAGGCCAGATGGGCCAAATACCAATTAAGCAGCAAATGAGGGATATACAGGCTGGGTAGAGAGCCTTGATTAGAAGGAAGCTCACCTGAGCAGAGATGGACTAGTGTAGAAGTATAAACCCAAAAAACTGGCTACCAGAAAGAAACTGGTAGTTCTCTGTTTGGTAGAGAGGGAAGGAGGGAACTCTCAGAAGAGTAGAACCCTCCAGGCTGGCCCAGATGGAGTGCATAGTGGCCTACCCTGAAGAGATCAGGGTGGAGAACAGAGTCTGTGAGATGCAGGGTAAGAAGCAGCCAAGTCAGAGTCCAAATGAATCTTGGCTGTGTTGTACAATCCCTGGGCTGGAACCCAGAATACAGAAGGGGCCTGGATACCCCTATCCACCACTAGGGAAGAGGCACCGGCAGGACAGTCAATTGGAACACTGCCCTGGGTCACTGTGGGAGTGACAGACTTTGAAATGGGGGAATGCCAAGTGACCTGGCTAGAGAGGCAAGTCATGACAAGGATGCTGCAGATGAAGGGCTGGAAGCTGACAGAGAGATGGCATGCAACTGCAGCAAGGGGTGTTAACATTATGGAGCTAATCCTAAGAACAGCCTGAGAAGGCACCATCCCTGCAATGAATTAAACTACCCATGCCAGGGAGAAACTCTCCCAGTCACCTAACTGAGATTTAATGTAATATGCATATGCCCTTGTTCTGAATTTATAATCTAGTAAATGCACATTCAAAAAATAAAAAGCAACCAACAAATAAATAAGAAGAATTAAGGGAAAGTGAGGACAACTGGTCTATTTTACAACATTCTTGATAGATGCTTTGAGACTAACCATACCACACATAATAAGCATGCCATTTTCAAACTTGGCAACTATTTAAAACCAACATTTTTTTAATTTAGCAAAGCATTCCTTACTGAAGACACAATAAATGCTACTTTCGAAATTTTATAACAAAGCTGCTTTTCAAGTTCAGTGTAGAAAACAACTTGTACTCAACACTTGTATAACTCAGAAGTGGGTCACTTTTTCAAAGAAAAATGCATATCAGTAAGACTATACATGAGACACTTCCTTTAGAAAGGGTTATTATTATTTAGTTACAAATGAGTGAAGAAGACCATACAACTATATTACTATTATTACTGTCCTGCTACAGTAGACTATAAGCCGAGCAAATAAACACTTCTGGGGCATCACATATAATGTGTCTGATAATTTTTCAGAAAACAAACAAATTGCCTTAAGCAGCAATTTCAGGACTTAGCAGCAACATTTAAAAATTAACCTGTATTTTTCAATTCAGAAATTAAATGGATTCCTCACTAATTAAAATTCTTCAGATGCAGTAAACTATGATTAAATATTATTTTTTCTGGTCCACCTCCCAAAAACCAAAGGGTTAGAACACATTATTAGCTTAACTTTATAGTATGAAATACCAGGTACATAATGCACAATTATTAGTGTGCATTATAAAACAAACTGCAGTGTGGGTTTGTGTAGCTTCTCTGTAGAAATAGATCTAAAAAATTCAGTCACTTAAAAATCGTTGATGGGATTTTACCAAGAATTTCCAAAGAAAATTAACCTTTAAATGAGTTGAAGTTTGGAAAATTTAAGTTAAAAAAAAAAAAAAAAGGCTGAGTAAGATCAGGTGATTAAAAATTAAGTTGCATTACATCTTATGCAAGTCTCTCCAAATCAGGACAAATAAAACTTCTGTACCACAACACATCACAGCATCATGAACTATGTATGTCCTCTTTCTATAGAAAGATATTTTAAGAAGGAAAAACATAACTAATAATTTTTTGAAAAACCCTAGAAATGACCTTACATATCTCTTCCACACATACAGTTATATGACGTTTAAGGTCTGGTATTCAGAAAACTACCAGAAAGCAATCATGGAAAGCTAGGAATCTCTGCTTTTTTATCGTTGCTAGACTTGATGATCATTTGATATGGCAACCTAAAGTTTCCACTTCTCCAGGATTGAATCACATTTGCAGTTAATCTCACACCAGTGCAATTTTGGGTAGAGGACGAAAACTTTCTTTTTAAGCAGATTTTGCTTTTTATGTTTAAAAACAGCAGCTGTTTAAAGCTGCTCAAGGCTCTAGAATGTTATTAGTAGTTCCAGCAAAGATGGAGTATTGGGCAAAGAGAAGGAGAGGCAGTCAAAATACACATAAATGGTTATTGTCTTGACTACTTAAGCAGCTGATGACAGGCTACTTTTATTTATTCTGATGTATAGAAATGCTACAAAAACTGCACTATCATATATTCAAGGTGCTGTTGGAATATTTAAAAAATACATCCCTCATTGCTTTTGGTTAAACATCTTCAGCTATGGAATTCATCTTCTCTCATCTTTGCTCTATTAGGGTGCGTCTAGACTACAGGGTTTTGTTGACAAAAGTGGACTTTTGTCAACAAAACTATACCTGCATCTACACTACTGCCGAGTTCTGTCGACATAACGTTTTGTTGACAGTGATAAACCTCATTCTATGATGAATAACGCCTTTTGTCGACAGAGTTCTATCGACAGAAGGCATTATTGCGTCCACACTCATGTTGACAAAGCGGCTTGCTTTGTCGACAGAACTGGATGTAGTCTAGACGCTCTTTGTCGACTAAAGCCTGTAGTCTAGACATACCCTTAAGAGTCCTAGTAAGACACCTGTAAAATATGCTGAAGGGCACAGAAGAGAGGATGGACAAAGATGTACTTTAATGAGTTTGGAGGTTCTTTCACTATCATTCTGACCTGCTCAATTTTTATATCAGCAGAATTTTAATGCTTGACATATACCTTTATTATAGGATAGGTATTTATATAAATACAAAAACCAAATTAATCACATGGCTATGCACTTTCACACTAGCACACTCACAAGCTATAATGAAATGCAAGTTTTCTGTTTAAGGACAAAGAAAAAGAGAAAAGAATGAGATTACATCAAAGTAATGAGCTAGATAACATCTGTAAAAGTTATTTTCAGACATGACTGCTGTGGTTACTTTTTTGTTATTGTAGGTTGGAGAGGCTGAAAACAAAACTACTTATTCCAGATACAATGCAGAAAATTGTTATTCTACCAAATAAAATATTTACACAGACTTCTGACTGAGTAGAAGCTTGCTGGCACAAGTGTTTGCTCTAAGCTAAACTCCATAAAAGTATGACAAAGGGTGAAAGTAACTTAAAATTTCTTACAGGTACTGTCCTATTGCAACCTAAGTCCCTGCCAGCTCTTTAAATAGCTCCCTGCTGGCTTTTGCCACAGCTCCGCCAGCTCTTGCTAGAACTGCGCACCACTTACTTTAACCTCTGCTTACAAGAAAAAGTTTATTTTCTGTGCCAAAGAAAAGTTTATTTTCTGTGGATAAAGGTATTTTCTACACAAATGGCCTTTAGAAATGAGTTTAGACAGTCAATTCAGAGAAAAAAGAGCAAAGAATTGCACACCTTTTATTCTGAATATGAAACATTTAACTAAAATATTGTAAAACATGAATATTACAAACTCCATAAGCACATGGCCACTATGAACTATCATGATACTTTTGGAGAACATCATCAACTGGTCAACTATTACGTCTTTAATCAGCACTAAGATACATACACAAGCAAATAATTGTAAATATGCGTTTTTCTGCAGAAGGCTAAAAGGTATTTTCATCTTTTACCCTAAAGCTGTCAAATAGACTGGCTAGAATATAGCAATCAATTTTTAATCTGTCCTTTACAATCTACAGCAAATAAAAAGTATTCCCTGCTCCTAAACTACTATAACAAGATGAGTGAGGAGTGATTTTAAAGAAATATGTAGTTATTTGAATCAACATCTAGAAGTACATAAATATGCTCCTTTCCCATTCGAGAGATTATGGTTCATATAAGGAATATTACAACAACATCTCAAGTCTAGTTGGGTTTTTATTGTACTCAGAGTTTGCAGGAGAGGAGGTTATGCAAGAGTCATAAAATGAATCTGGCAATGACCAGCCCTATTTCTGATTTTGGTTACTTGAGGCAGACAAAGATAAGAATTACAAGATTCTAATCTGTTTTCTATATTTGCCAATTTTAATACAAAAAAGAATAAAAATGGTGTTTTTTTTAAAACTAACAATGACTAAAAATGATCTAAGCAGTTTCATACTGCTATTGCTTCATGGATTACTAATGTTGCTACAAAACCTTCACACAGAGCGAGTGCAATTTCTCTTTCTTACAGTGTAGAACAGGAGTGGGCAATACATTTAATGGTGGGAAACGTCAAGATTTTGGCAAGTGGTCAAGGGCTCCACTTCTATGGAGGGGGTGCAGTGTCTGGGATAGAGATCGGGTGCAGAAGGGAGCTTGGGGTAGAGAACTGGGGTACAGGAGGGGGCATGGAATCAGAGAGAGTTTGGGTGAACAAGGGGGTTGTGATCTGGGGCAGGGACTTGGGGTGTAGGGTCCAGGAGAGGATACGGGTGCAGGGGAGGATTCTAGCCTGGGGGAGGGGCTCTAGAAGGGGGTGCAGGGTCTGGGAGGGAGTTGTGACCTGGAAGAAGGGGGTGCAGAGAGTTTGGGTGGTGTCCAGGATCATGGGTGCAGGGTTAGGTAGGGGGTATGGGTGCAAGAGAGGATTCTGGCCTGGTGGAGAGGTGAAGGAGGGAGTGCAAGGTCTGGAAGGAAGCTGTGACCTGGAAGAAGGGGGGAAAGGGGTATAGAGGTTTTGGGTGGGGCCTGGAGCATGTAATTGGGGGGAAAGAAGTGGTGGGATGCCAGGGGTAGGCTCTGGCTGGGACGCACTTACCTAGGCGGCTCCCAGCCAACAGCCCTGCAGGAGCCTGAGGCAGGTTCTCTGCTGAAGTGTCAGTTGGTTGGCTGCTCTACGTGGATCTGCTCTGGGCATGAGAGAGAGATGAGGGAGAAGGCTGCACACGCTGCTCCTGCCCCCAGAAAAACTTCTCAGCTCCTACTGGCCGGAAACTGGACAATGGGAGCTGAGAAATTTTGCTGGTGGGCAAAATCTCCCTCTTCTTAGAATCTTTTTAGGTTTTGCCAAATTTAATGCAATACAGGGATGAACACATGTATAATACACCTTAATAATATCCTATATTAGTCAGTATATTTTGGTAATGAATCTCTAGTGCTCAAAAGAGACAAATATCTTACTGTATGTTTTAATTATTCAGCTATAAAAAATTTAGTTAAAAGGCTTACCCTGCTAGAAGTTTCCAGTAAAAATTGGAACGTATTCTGTACAGCTTGGCATGTCTCTAGCTCAGTTCTGCTGAATGCCATTAAATAATCCTTAAGGTGATCATATACATTCCCATCAAGAGCCTGTATAAAGAGGGGAAGAATTATTAAAAACAGTAATTAAAAAGTGTGCAGGATCATTTGTTTTATTTTAGATTTATAACCTAAATTCTCTGAGCACATTAATCTATGTAACAACAGTTCTCAAACTGTGGGTCCAGGAACCCAAAGTGATGTCATTTTAATGGGGTTACTAGAGCTGCCATTAGACTTGTTGGGGCTCAGGGCCAAACACTCATTGCCCTTGGCAGCAGAGCTCAGACTCTGGCTTCAGCCCTGGGCAGTGGGGCTGAAGTCCGTCGGCTTCGGCTTTGGCCACTGCCTGGGGTATTAGGGCTCAGGTTTCAGCTTTGGGGCCCCTGCTTCGGGCAGCAGGACTTGAGCAGGGTCAGGTTTTTGTCCCCCTTCTTGGGATCATATAGTATGCATATGTCAAAAGGGGGTCAGTCCAGTGAAGTTTGAGAACCCCTGAACTACAATAATCAGAATAACCTAGATATTCCAACTTTCACTAGGTATAGTACCAAAGTCATTGTCTTAATTCCACTAGATGGCACCACAGAGCACTATAACAACAACTGTATTTCAATAAAAATGTTTTTCATCCAGTTATGTAAGGTATCCATAGAAGAATGCGAAGGTCGAGTTTGGATAAATGATGTTACTTAGAGATATATTCTCAATGGGAAGTGACCTTTCAAGTAAAAGGGTGCAGAGCTTCTACTGGAAAGGATGTATTTTACTGTGCAGCATTCTAAATGTTTTCATGGACCACTTAATAAATACAAAAGTCTTAATTTGAATTGTAGATAATATTGATGACAGCAAGAACAACTAAGTGTCCATTATTTTATGTATAGACATACATACATCCCTTCTCCAGGCATATAAATACCTGCTGCACAACAGCAGGGCCAATCATTCAGGTTGAAAACTATTAATAATTACATTATAGCACAGCTCAAAGGCCACATTGTTGTACTTGCTAACAAAAATTACAGTGTAAGCCCTGATCCACACCAAGGTACGACAGTTTAATTTAACATATTTGCAAACTGATTTAAACCAGAGCAACTGTGTATGTGTACAGATGCAAATATGTCATTTTAAAACTAGTTTATATTCTTTAAGCCAATGTAAACTTGTGTAGCTACACACAGAATTGCACCAGTTTAATTAAATCAGTCAAGGAAAATAGTGCCTGTTTTCAGGATTTTTTGAAAACACTTTTCAAGGAATGTGATTAGGGCAAGTACTATCTTGGAAGCCTGCTTGTTTGACATTCAAGGAGTTCTCCACCTCTGGGGCTGACTATGAAATTAGGTACTCTAGAACATTGAGATGCACAGAAAGCAGCAATATCAAGTGGCAGCTTGATGCCTAATTTAGGTCTTTACAAGGCTTTAGGAAGCCAATGCACCAGATTTTGGGCAGTCTTCTTTCACTGTATCAGAGGGATAACTGTGTTAGTCTGAATCTGCAAAAGTGACGAGGAGTCCTGTGGCACCTTATAGACTAACTGAAGTGTAGGAGCATAAGCTTTCGAGGGCAAAGACCCACTTCGTCAGATGCAACTTCTTTCACTGGTGGCTCTTGTGAAGCATTGAGCCAGCCAAGAATGAGTATGTGGGCCAAGATGTTTCATGAACTCTGGAAGAATGTTGTCATAGTCAACAGCGGTGCCACTTGATGTTATGTAGTACCCCATCCAGCTTAATAACTATGAAAGGTTCAGAGCCAGCTCTGGCTTTGTGTTGCCTGCAGAAGACTTTCTGCTCGATCTGGACTCAACTCTTCACTTCTCTTTCCCATGAGAAACAGGAGACTATGCAGCATGATACTGCATGACACACAGCTCTACTTGTTATAATATCAAGAGCTCTCCCATCATACATTACTGATGCTATTGAACTGCAACAAAACTTGGAAAAGGGTCTGTTCTAGCACCAATCTTGTTCAACCTATACACCAATGACCTTCCACCAGCCTAGTAACTGAAGCATATTCAATTTACTTAGGCATGACCCTTAACTGAACCAGGGATGTAATAGTATAGTCAATTAACCGATAACCAAAAGCTTATTGGTTAAATGCTATAGACTACACACATTTCTGAT